GAGGTAACTGTTGGGAGGAAGTGGGAGGGGAGCTGTTGCATTGGGGTAAATTGTAGTCAATGTTATGAGATAAAGTGTATGTGAACTGCTGTATGGAAAGTGAATTTGTTCTGTAAATTTTCACCCAAATCACAATTAAAAAAAAAAAGAATATCGCTTGTTAGATTAGGCATTTCCTACAAAAGTTCAACATAGCCTTACAGATGACCCAGAAATCCTACTCCTAGGTATCTACCCAAAGAACTGAAAGCAAGGATGCAAATAGACACTTGTGTCCTAATGCTCACAACAGCCCTATTCACAATAGCCACACGTGGAAACAACCCTAGTGTCCATCAACTAAAGAGTGGATGAACAAAATGTGGTTCACAAAGGCAATGGAATATTACTCAACTGTAAAGAGAAACGAAGTTCTGACACATGCTTTGACATGGATGGCCCTGGGAACCATCATGCTGAGTGAAGTAAGTCAAACACAAAGGGACAAATATTGCATGATCTCACTTATATGAAAAGATAATAGGCAAATGCATAGAGACCAAAGTTTATTAGTGGTTACCAGGGGAGGGCAGAACAAAGAAATGGTGGGTTACTGCTTAAGGGACATTGAGTTTCTGTTAAGGATGATGAAGAATTGGGTAATGGAGAGTAGGTATGGTCGCACAATATGATGAATGTAATTAATGTCACTGAACACCACTCCTAAAAATCATTGAAGTGGCAAATGTGTTGTTATATATATATACTTGACCACAATTTAAAAAATAAAACCCCATACTGTGAAGTCATCATCTTTCTAAACAAGCCTCTGACAGCTGCTGGGCCCTGGCAACCTGCTGGCACCTACTATTTATTTTTCTGGAATGAACTATAATCATCAGCAGCTATGAGTCAGAATCTATTGCATTTGAAATCCAACTAGTACTTTTCATTTTTCAGAAAAAAATCTCTACAGTTTTCAAATTTGGTAGAATATTCCAGTAGGCAATGGGGGATCCTAAAACCTTGACCCCACAGTGACAGTTTTAGTTCCTCTTTGGTCGAGGCTGAAGAGCACAGAGCAGAAGCCAGGACGAGGCTTCGCCCTTCCTCATTCCCTGGTTATAATGTGTCCAAGGCCCTGATGGTTCATTAGGAGCCATCCCCACGTCCATGTACCTGCACTCACAAGCACACGTATGCACACGCACACATCACTAGGTCTCATGCAGCTGGGAGAATGTATTCAGAGTAATTCTGAAACAACAGTGATTCAAAACAGAAAGTGACCCACTGGTGGGGTGTGCGGATGGGAGGACGTGCTCTGTGGTCACTGACTGTGTTTCCCAAAAAGATATGTTGAAGTCCTAGTTCCTGCTACCTGTGAACATGACCTTGTTAGGAATTAAGGTCTTTGGAGATGTGCTTTGTTACCTAAACATGAGATCACACTGGAGGAGGGTAGACCCTAATGACATCCGGTGACTCCTTATACAAGAGGAGAAGAGAGGGAGGGACTGCAGCCACAGGGTGACAGAGACACCGCAGCTCCAGCTGGGGCTGAGAGAGATAAGAGAGGATCTTTCCCCAGAGTGCTGGAGAGCACATGGCCTGCGGACACTCAGACTTTGGACGGCTAGCCTCCAGAAGGTGAGACGATAAATCCTCTCTTCTTGTCAACTGCCCCATGTGTGGTATTTCGTTACAGGAGCCCTAGGAAACCAGACCTTTGATAATTAACTTTCAGTGCCATCGGCTGCTTCACAAATAACAGTAATTTTATCATTTGAGAGTGGGGTTTATGAAACTACCCACTGAAATTCTGGAAAGATGACTCAAAACCCATGTTCTCAGAGTGCACACCATCTCCACATACCACTTCAAATGTAACTAGTGTTCACCACAGGGATTGCACTTAAATTACTATCATAGACACAAAAATGGCTTCCCAACGCCACAACAAGTCCCCGGATCAGCTACCAAGTTTCAAGAAATACAATCCCCATACCACAACATGCTGGTTTATAAAACGAACAGAAAAGACTCAGCCATTCATTATCTATTTAAAAATCTTTGCTTATTTAAGAATTTCTTAGCTAAATAAAGAACTGGCAATTTGAGAAGCCTGAATTATGTTGAGTCTCTACTACTCCTTGGGCTTAAAAATAGCCAACTAATCTAGTTCTCTTGAAGTTCTTTTTCTCACCATTTCTTTGCTTTTCATAGTCCAGAGGTTTCCGCCTTCCTCGCTCACCTCTCTCTCTCTATCTCTATCTCTCTCTCTCTCTGCCTGTTGGTATTAGGTCAAAGTGTTCTTTTTATCAATGAATAAATCAGCCTGCCTGCCCATGTGCTTAGGTCAACGCCCCCTGGAGAAGGAACTCACAGTGTGTCTCCTCAGGAGTTCTTCTGGGTCCCCCTCTTCCTTGAGGCCCTCTTGAGCGGTCCTCAGCACCTTCTCCAATTCTGCTCGAGACTCCTCAAATTTCTTCATCAAGCGACTATTGGTTTCCACGTGTTTCTTCCAATCTCCAGTTTTCTTTACCATGTTCTTGATTGAGAAAAATAATCATAATATGATGCTGTTTTCTCATTATTGGAAGTATCATTGTGTTAAAGAGCATTTTATCTTTAAATAACACTTAAAGGAGAATAGGAGCTCTGGTAAAACATTCGACTGCTATCCAGGTCAGTGGTTCAAACCCACCAGCAGCTCCATGAGAGGAAGATGAGACAATCTACTTCCATAAAGATGTACAGCCTTGGAAACTCAATGGGGTCACTGTGAATTGGAATTTACTCCATGGTAGTAAGTAAAGAAGAACCTATTGCAATGGAGAAATTAACTCTTCTGAGATTAATAGGAGCCCTGTTGGCCCAGTGTTAAGATAACTGAAAGGTCAGCAGTTCGAAGCCACTAGCTGCTCCACAAGAGAAAGATGTGGCAGTCTGCTTCTGTAAAGATTTATAGCCTTCGATACTGTGTGGGACAGTTCTACTCTGTTCTACAGAGTCACTGTAAGGCAGAATTGACTGGATAGCAATGGGTTATTTTCTCCCTGCAACTCATTAGTATTAGAAAACGTGAAAGTAAAATCACTGGTTTGCAAACACCAGAGATGAAGTATCTTCACAAGAAGGGAAGCAGGATAAATGAGGTCATTTTGTTCTATTTTCCTGAGCTCATCAGTCTATAGCAGGGAGAACAAATTACCTGAAAAGCCACATGAGCATCAGCAATCTTTCTTTGTAGTGTTGTCTGATCAAAATGCTTTAACACGTTGCTCAAAGTCACGAACTTCTGAACACTCTGACTGCCTTTCTCTATTAGTGTCAAGGTTTTCTTACAGCTCTCCTGACAAGCCAACAGTTCCTACAAGGAAAAGAAACAATAATATTATTGAAAAGAAAAACAGAGTACCCCTTTAAAACAGTAAGAAGAGTGTGACAGAGCTTTCGGGCTGTTAAGCAGAAGGAAGTAAAACTAAAGTACAAAGAAGCATTTCTTTAGAAAAGGGTGCAACTGTAAGCAGCCCTAACGTTAGGGCTTTTTGTGCAGGGCATTACTATGTCACAATGAGTTTTTTGAGATTTCTTATATTACATGAACATGTTACTAACACAAAGAAAATTAGATAGTATCAAAATTGTTATCTGTCTAGTGTCTGCATTCCTCCAACCAATTAATTAGGCCAATTGGCTGCTAAGCAAAAGGTCAGCAGTTCAAACCCACCAGCTGCTCCACAGAAAAAAAAGATGTGGGAGTCTTCTTCCACAGAGATTAATAGCCTTGGAAATCCTATGGGGTAGTTCTCTGTCTTAGGGGGTTGCTATGAGTTGTAATCAACTCGACATTTGGTATGTTTATTGAAAGAGCAATAATGAAGTCAACCTATGTTAGGTTTACATCTGATTAACTAAACTTCACACAACTGCACTCCACTCTACGCTTGATGGAAAGAGTCAGATGCAGCAAATTATGTATTATTTGTTCCTCCTAAAACATACATTTGAACTCTTAAGATTCACAAGCTGTCCACCTCATTAGTGAATGGTGTATCCCAGATCCTAATCAAAGGCAACTGACCAATGATTCTGGGAGGACTTGCAGTGGTCACACATGTGTAAAAGGAGATGCAACAGTGACTCAGGCCCAACCACCACTGACTCGTAAGCTGGCATCAGCGGTCTCTGCTGTGGGCAGCATGGAAATGAGTCCAGCCCAGTGGAGAAGGCCATTTTTGACTTGAATGCACACCTCTTGAATATCAGCATTCAACTTTGAACTTGAATGCACACCTCATGAACCTTCTCTACTGCTTTCTAAAAATATTTCAAGCTGCTTGTTTCGATATCATCTTTGGCAACCTAGATACAAATACGAAGAGCAGGGCTTTGGTTTCGCCTTCTCCAAATGGAATGTGGGCATACTTTTGCAGATTTCAGAGGGAAAGGGTAACATAAGTTACAGAGATATTATTAACTATTATTTTATCGTGAAAGGATTATCTTATTGTAGCTTATAGCAACTGGGCAATGTGAGAAATGGCATTACGTGTCAAAGTGAAAGATGTTCTTCAGTCCGTATGATGAGAAGCAATGAGAACAGGACTTGGTGGCACAGCTAAGCACTGTGGGGTCACCATTAATAATAACTGCCTCCAGATATGGAGTCCATGTTATATGCTATGATGTGCTAGTTTCATTATATCTATCTCATATAATCTTTACCACAACCTGTCCACTCAGGTATCACCACCTCCATTTTAAAGTGAGGGAATTAACAGTGGTCAAGGCTTTGTACTTTGCCACATTAGACCTAAGATTTGAACACAAGTCTGACTTGACACTGACACTCTCTGAGCTTTCTATGAAATGATGCTGCCTTCCTTCCACGAGTCTATTTCAATAGTGGTAGCAAGCCCTTTGGGGTTTCACCATCTTCTGATGGGTAGATTCATTCATAACATACCAACTAAGTAAGTCCACTAACTGCAGCACTCCCAAGAGGCTGCTGTGCATATGGACAAAGACAGATGGTGATCACAGAAATGCCACTGCCAGAAACAGACATTCTTAGAGGCAAAGAGAAGATCTCGTAAGACATAGATTTTAGATACCAGATGGGAAAAAATGTGCATAACTTACTACCATATATATATATATATATATATATATATATATATATATATATCTCAAGTGTAAATCTCTATTTTTCTTCCCATATATTTCCAAAGAATCATGGAAGGAAGGAATATATGTTTGCTAATGTGAAATTCACCATTTTATTCATACTGAGGCAGCAGGCGATGCCCAAAAATATGTGTGAGAAACAGCTCTAAACAGTTTCCCCAAAGAAGGTCAACAGAAAGGGAGAAGAATTTATACACACACATACACACACATACATATACAAGGAGATCCAGTGGTACAGCGGTTAAGGCATTGGCTGCTAACCCAAAGGTTGGTGGTTTGAACCCACTAGCTGCTCTGTGGCAGCACGATGAGGCAGTCTGCTTCCAGAAAGATATACAGCAAACTCTATTGGGAAGTTCTCCCCTATGCTATAGGCTCGCTGTGAGTAGAATAGACTCTATAGCAGTGGGTTTTTATTTCATACGTATATATTCTGTAGTATTTTAAATACAGATGAGAATTTAATTACATTAACATTTTATCTGTATGGGCTTTATAAGTAAAATGTGATGCCTAGATTCACTGGTGGCAAGATACTACAATAAAGAATATAAAGCAGAGATGATAACAGACAGCCCTTCAAAAGGGGATACACTTACTGTTTCCAAACAGAATTGTGGATTTGACTATATCCCTAATGCCTGTTCCTTATTTCACAGAGACAGGTGAACTTCCTGACCCCAGACTTGGAATTCAGTGAAAACAGCAACCACAGGTACAGGGATGATATTCCAAAGTGCTTGTGGAGTAGTACCCGGCCCACAGCCTTGTCCGGTTCATAGACAGAGAGTCAGGTGCTTTAAAACACCTGACTTGTAAATTCGTTCCACTCAGGGAACTCATTAATTCAGGTGATTAGAACCTGGCTGCAGGGAGCCCCTCACAACTGGACCAATAAGAAGCATCACAATAAATGGAGAAAAGATTGAAGTTGTGAAAGATTCCGTATAACTTGTTTCCACAATCGATACCAATTTAAGCCAGAGTCAAGACATCAGATCTGCACTGGGCAAATCTGCTGCCAAAGACCTATTTCAAGTGCTGAAGAGCAAAGATATCTCCTTGAAGACTGAGGTACACCTAACCCAAGCCATGGTTATTTTCAATCGCCTCATATGCATGTGAGAGCTGGACAATGAACATGGAAGACCAAAGAAGAGTTGATGCTTTTGAGTTTGGTGTTGTCGAAGAATGCTGAAAGTACCCTGGACTGCCAGAGAACAAACAAATCTGTCCTGGAGGAAGTGCAGCTAGAGTGCTCCTTGGAAGCGAGAATGGCCAGACTTTGCCTCACCTACTTTGGTCATGTTGTCAGAAGGCACCATTCCCTGGAGAAGGATATCATGCTTGGGAAAGTGGAGTGTCAGTGAAGAAGGGCAAGGCCCTCAATGCGATGGACTGACACAGTGGCTGTCACATTATGGTCAGAGATAACAAGGATTGTGAGGCTGGCACAGGACAGGGCAGTGTTTCATCCTGTTGTGCATAGGGTTGCTATAAATTGGAGCCAACTAGATGGCACCTAACAACAAAACAACAACAAGCAGGAAGCCCCAGGCCAGCACCACACAGTCTAGCTCCGGTGCTACCTGGACACAGCTGACACGCTCGGCTGTCTGTGGAGTAGGATCTTCATCATTGGATGAGCCACCTATTTCTGTTTGCATTGTCAGTACAATGCTAGGAAACAGTTTCCCATCTTGTCTGAATTTCTCTCATTATAAGCACCACCTCAGTCATAGTTCACATGCTTTGATATAATTATGCCTCCAGAAAAGAACTTTTCCTTACCTGATGTTTTTGTTTAAAAAGAGCACTCGATTGTGCCTCTCGTTCCAGAACTGTTAAAACTTCATTGATTTTCCCAAGTGAGTCATAGAAGCTCGTCATGTGCCTTTCCAAGTCCTCTAACGGAATGGACAGCTGCTGCGACTCATACAGAAGTGGGGAGTAGCATTCTTTGACCTTTAGAAAGACAAGGATGAAAATTCCATGAGGCATCGTTAAGTACCACGAGCTCAGGGTACTCTCAGAACGGTTTCTTTACTTATATGGTCCAATTGGTGGTTTCAAGTCCCTAAAACATTTTTTCAGTAAATACGTATTTTCTATGTAGTTGTTGACATTTCCTGTTTTAAAAAATATGACCAGACAACTGAGACAAATAAACAGCTACAAAGTTTTTCACGAAAATCCATACATATAATCCATCTGGGTGGCACTTTCCCATCAGAAAGAGTGCCTCGTGAGCCACATGGCACCAAATCCCACCCATAAACTGCAGCTCACCTTTACTGTGGCCTGGGAATCCAAACTAAGACAGTCATTAATTATCATTCACTGTCTAGACCAGCCCAATGTCATACAACTTTGTATTCAAAGCTCTCCTACTTAAAACAGTGACTTCAGATAAACTTACAGACTTCTTGGCTTCCTCTTCTCAGACCAGGGCTTTGAACCAGTTCATTCAAAACAAAAGAAAAGAATGATTTTAACAAGAGCCCCCAAGTTCTTGCAAACTTACAAGAATCACCTGAGGATCTCAGGAAATGCAGATTCCGGTTCAGTATGTCTGGGGTGGAAAAGCAAATTCTCAGCAAAGGGTCGGACCAGAAGGAACGGGGTCGAAGCCCTCTTCCAGGCAGGCTCTGTGCTTCCCTGGTTCCCACTAACTCCACGTTCTGCTCCTGCATGCCTATCAGTCCCACTCATCCCAAGCACACGTCACAGACTGACTTCTTCAGGAAGGTCCCCTCACTAAGTGACATCTCCCTGTCTGAATTGGCTCAGCCCTTATCTCTCAGCTGTCCTTTTTAAGAAATGTTAGTGTATGCAGCTGGACTTCCTGGGTGCTATGAATGGTTGACACAGTTGGCTGCTGACCCAAAGGGTGGAGGTTCACATCCACCCAAGAACACTTGCAAAGAAAGGACTGACAATCTACTTCCAAAATATGTGCCAGTGAAAGCCCTAGGGAGCAGTTCTACTCTGTCCTATGTGTGTCAGAATAGACTCAACAGTAACTTGTTTGGTTTGTTTCATGCATGTTCATTGCCTCCATGATGAGACTATAAGATCTCAGAGACTGAGGGCTCCAGGAAATGCTTGCTTCTTCACATCTGTCAAAATCCAGGACCACACAGTCCTTCACAAACCTTCCGTTCCATTCTCATTTTATGTAAAGAAACTTCCAAAGTATTATTAATTCTTTCAGAAAACTAAGGAAAGGGGATTCAGCAGTGCTTGTTAGTGTATCTTTTTTCCCCCCTTAAATTATAAAGACAATAGTGTGCTAAATTTATCCATAATATTCCAAAACTAATTCCTAAAGAAAGTGGGTGGTAACATTTTGTTAGACTGTTAAATATAGACTGGTATAGGCAGAAATATTTGCACACTCTAGAATCAAGTGCCTGCAGGACACATTTATGAAAAGCAACATAATCCTCCTGTCACAAGATTCTGGTAAAATCACCCTGAGCCAAACCAGAGAATCAAATAACAGCTGTGCTTTAAAAATCAGTGTGCTTTATAAAACTTTCCTGTGTGGTGGCGCAGTTTTTAAACCATTTGACGCTGGCTGGAAGGTCAGCAGTTTGAATCCACGAGCTGCTCCATGAGAGAACATTGAGACAGTCTGCTTCTGTAATGATTTACAGACTTGGAAACCCCTTTTGTTTAGCAGCAGTTCTGGTGTGTCCTATAAGGTTTATGAGTTAGAATCGACTGGATGGCAGTGGGATTTTTGTGTGCAATAGAAAATGTATCAAGGTGCTGCATCTGAAATAGCAATAAAAATATTAGACTGTGTCTAAAGACACAAGTTGCTTCTGCCAGGACTGTTCTCAGTCTCTAAACCTGTCCCAGGCTAAAAAAGTGTGAGTCCAGATACAACTGAAAGCTGCTTGAATTTTCTCACATTGGAAATAGCGACTTAGAATTGCAGCTATTGTTGAATAAATTTTGCCGGCAGCATATGTTATCATCATTTCCCATGACTTTCAAATGATAAATGCTTCTAATTTGAACGGTAAAATAAAATTAATTAAAAGTTAACACTGAAATCTACACCAGGCGGAGAGAGAAAGTTTTCTCTTTTTTTTACTTGATCACGCTTGTTGCAATTTTCACTTTTCTCGGTCATCCCTCTTTTCCGTGAATTTTGCACTATTGATTTCATGTAAGCCATTCTCTTTCTAGTTTTCTCTCCCAGCTAACAGGCTTTCCTACTTTGTTTTATTTTCCATTCTTCATTACAGAATTTTTTCACTTCTTTACATAATCACCCTTTTCTTTTGCCAGGAATTAACTACCAATCAAAGCAGACATCACAAACCATATAATCTTCGTAAAATTCAACTTTAGAGAAAGAATCTCAAAAGAGTTTCTAAAGCTCTTATGGAAAATCCCTCCATAGAAGAGAGAAAAGGCTTAATGTTCACCTTGTTGTCTACAGAAAGAAGTCTCATAGGTTGTGGTCACTGCTTGGTCACAGCCAGCTACCCAGCGGGACCGAGTAGTTGAACCTGCGGGCTTGGGACCATAATCGCAGGGGGCATCAAGCTCAATTGGCATAACATACTATACAAAACATTGTTCCACCTCTTACTTTGGCAAGTAGC